TGAATGATGAAACTGGTTACACTCGCTGAACTACGTTTTGAAGCCAATTGTAGCAAATTTTCTACCCCATAATGACCCTCCCTACTTCGTCAAATGAAGAACTTTTGAGCTTGCTACAACTTGCTGCGAGTAATGACCACGTCTATCGAATGAGCTTGGTGGCTTAGATGCAGGATTATGTCTTTGTCGGTTTGCCTGATTAATCTCAAGCAACGGCGAGTTATCGTAATCAGTTGTGAAAGACCCTCAGGTTGGATTGATGACGGCTGCTGATGTTCGCTGCATACGGCGTTCATTTAAGACGTTGCTGATGGCGAAGCTTTCTGATTGCAAAATGAATGTAGATGGTCAGTTTGAGATTAAACTTTTACAGTTGACACGTTTACTCTCTCTGATAAATTGCCTTGGTTCTGCTCCTAGAGGGCTGTTTTGTACATACTAGTCATTATGGGCTCAGGAGTGACATCATTTTTCATTTTTCTGGATTTAAAAAAACACATTTCAGTAAGCATTACAAAATCAGATCTTTTTGTACAAATTTATAGAACAACATCAATGAATTAAAGTATGATATGACGTTTCTGAGATGGAGGACTTAAGTTCATAACTTGGAGAAGTTTGACATACCGAGACATGTTCTGGATAATTGTAGTGAGCTTCTCTTGTTTGGTGATGCATCAGATACAACTTGGGCCAGGTGCATCTACACCAGGAACGTGGCGGCGGAAACAACAAATCTTTCTGTGGTTAAGTAAAAAGTTGCGCCTCTAAAACTTTGACGATCCCAAATTTGAAAAGTGTGCAGCAGTATTGGAATGCAAGTTGCTAGACAAAACAGGAAAAGCACAGCAAAAGAGATAAGTCGAGCTCCGACGGAAGCTTTGGAAGCACAGATGCCAGGTTTGTTTTTTTGCTTAATCAACCAGCCCCTAACGTCTGAATTTTTTTTTGCTTGTAAGCAAGTGCATGAAATTCAGGAGAAGTGAGGAAAACCCATCGGATACTGCTTGAGTCTTGATGCAATGACGCCGAAAAACTTCTCTTTCTGATGCATGAATCGAGCTGGCTCTCTGAAGTTTGGTTTCAAGGCTAACACACGCTATTAAAATTGGTGTTGAAATAATAAACAAATCCAGCTGTCAACAGCTGCCAATTAGTTAAATTTTCTTTGAACATGCGAATTGATCATGAAAATTGTAAATGTGTACAATTTTACGTTGTTTTTTTTTGCATCCTATAATTAGAAGATGGAGAGCGTTAGGATTGTTTCGAATTGAACAAAATAGGCTGTTTAGGGAGGAACTTGAGACTTTGAACGCCGACAAACCACCTGTAAAAATCATCCTCCTTTGCGATTTTACCGTTTTGTTGATGACGTTGTCATCAAAGTGGATGGTAGATTAGCGCAGAAAAAAACCTCGCAGAGGATCCGTTCAATCAAATCGTGACACCCAAAAAAAGTTAGCTGGCAAAGCTCAGCTTGAAGGACATTCATCTGAAGTATTTGCATGCCACCGCAAATACGATGCTAGCTGATCTTCCACGACACTTCTGGAATGTTGACGCGCAAGCAGCGATTCTTCACCTGATACGAAACTGTGGAAGTGCCAGCAATTCATTGGACAAGCCAACCCATCAAGGATAGGAGACTTACCCATAGAATGGACGTCAAACATGGCTTTGTTTGTTTGTTTCACGCACTGCCATGAACTGCTACGTTGAGACGTTTTTGTGCAAGGTGTGTTGCTCCAGCCAGACTGCACTCAGACAAGGACTTATTTTTGTTGGAACTAAAAACGAACTGTGGCAACTCCAACTGAGCCTGACAAAAAATACAGAGATATATCAAAACTGAATGCGGCAGATGAGATTGATTCCCCAGAAATTTTCCAAATCACATCTGAAATCACTAAGTTACATTGTTTTGAGGTGCGATGATTTTCTTACTCTACTGTAGAACAAAGAACCAATCCGAACCCAAGAACTCTTCCTTCAAATTCTGCTGATGTTTCGCATATGCGGACTCATCACCAGCTATGATAGTGAGCGCCAAAGAGATACAGTATCTGCCAAAACCAATTCCTTCACTGACAACAAGTACCCTTCAGCCGTTTGAAACACATCCAGGCAGACGTTGTGCACAAAAGCAGAGGCTCAATGGAGTTTTTCGGAAGCGATGGAACGAGGAGTACTTGTCTACTCTACAGCCTCGGATGAAGCGGACTTCAGGGCAATGATGGAAGAAAATTGCACTCCTGGTGGAAGAAAATCAATTCATGATGGAAGAAAACCCAGACAATCATTGTTGATCGGCAAAAAAACTAAAGAAGCTCATATTCAGTGTTGATAGAACTTCGTTTATTCAAGGTGCGCGCCAATGTTGCTCGCAACAAGCAACATTATGAATTGATTGCAGATCTAGAAAACTATAACCACCCAAAAACTGATTTAATTCAACTACGATTTTTTCACATGTCTATTATATTCTACGCGGTATTTATCCCTGTTTTTAGAGCAATTTTTATTGAGTTATCACAATTTTCAAAACAGCTTGTAAAGTTTGTCCGTATTAAAACAGGGCAGTCGAGTGATACTTGAGACACAGGTTTAGACCGGTAAAGGTCTTATTGCACAAATTCCAGAAACAAATTGCGAGTATTGCAACACAACGTTTAGGAAGCCTTCTAACAAACTATTTTTTTTATATACTCACTTCTAACGCAAGCTAAAAACCCATCAGAGTCTATGTTGACATTTTTTGCTAGATTTTTCATTTAAAAAGATGTTTAGTTTCACTGTCGTGGTATACAGAGAGAAGCAAGTAAAAGCTGCTTCTCTCCTTCTGATATAGAAACATACAAATTGGTTGGATCGCACTGAAAAAAAACCACCTTAGTCAAATTGAATAGATCCGCCATTGTAACGTTTTAAATTTCGGTGAGAAATCACCACCAATTCAACAATTTTCCAGTCATAAAACCGGACAAAATTTTTTTTCTTGATCTGCTCATTTTACTTTTCGGCTTTGCATGAGTCACACTTTCACGGTGATCGAGGTGTTTGTTTTTACTGCGTTTGATGTATATTTCGAACTTGCTCGAGGAATGCTTTGTATGTGCTCGCAGTACATAGACTATGCTCGACATGTGTTTTGACCAAGCTAGAGCTAAATTTTGACCATTCTGGAGGTATTAACGGCTGAAGTCGAGGTAAGATTAGACATCACTCGGTTATATTTCGACCCTGCTCAACTTATGTTCTTACCAAACACGATCAAAACTCGCTAGGTTTCGAAGACGTTTGAAATATCTTTGATTGTGTTTGGTCAAATTTTGATTCCTTTTGATAGTGCTCGAGGTATGAAGTATGTTTTGATGAGCTCAAATTCTTTTCGACATGTTTAGATAGTGTTCGAGGCATGTTTCAGCAGTGCTCGCGGTAGCTTGAGCACTGATATATGATTTGTGCTCAAGATATGGTTTCGAGGAATGTTTTTACCGAGCCCGAGACATGTTTCGTCAATGATCGATACACTCTAGGGATGGGCTAGGTATAGAGTTTGACGTCGCGTATCGTATTTTTTGAACATGCGCAAGATACTGCTCGAAACTGCTCGAAGAATGTTTCGATCGCGCTCAGTGAATTTTTGTGTTTACCGTGTTGAGATTTGTTTACCGTGTTGGGTGTGTTTTGATTCTGCTCATTATATATTTTGAGGTTAAGAGAATTTGATGCCCGTAATTGGGTGTGATTTGATAGTGCTGTCGATATGTTTCGAACCTGCTCGAGGTATGTTTTGATTGCATGCGAGATTTGTTTTGACCAGCTTTAAGATGTTTTTGCCCAAGTCCGAGTATGTCTCAATGTAGGCTTCGGCCTTGTCCCAGATAAAGTTCAACCATGCTCATTAATTATTTCAACTGAGCTTGATCAAGTTTTGATTTGTTTTGACCGTGATCGAGGTATTTTTGATTTTTTACATAACATAAAACCCTGTCTCGAAAACAATTTTTGTTCAATCCCTAACATTGTGACTCTAGATGACAGCCAACCTAATGTTTGTAATGGAAATCCAGTTGCGCCTAATTTTATAAGAGAAAACTGACAAAGTTTGGTCTATTAATTGCAATGAAACACTTACGGCATGCTTCCCTCACTCATGGTGTTGCGCGATAAAAACTAATCGAATCAATTTATTTACATTTTAATTTCATTGGAAAAGTCTTAATAATCTAAGAAGTAACGTATTTTTATAGCGAACAGCTTCGCCGCTGCTGACAACAAAAAAACGAATGCCAGCTACATCTTGAAACGCTATCTTTTTCTTCGCATTTACAAAAAAAAACTCAGAAAAATTTAAGAAAAAATATAAAAGTCTCCATAGAATCGCTGCTCAAAGTTTATGGAACTATTTTATCTCCAAGGTATCTTTTCACAGTAATTTATCTCCAAGGTGTTTGTTAGGTGTATATACTGTGTTTGTTAATTAAATGTTCTGCTCGTTATATGGCTGTTTCTTTTAACGTCAAAGGTTTATCCTTAATTTGATCGTGTTCTAGCTTTCTGTTTTTCTGATGACAATTTTTAAATTCAATCCCACCAAAGTTATTTATAAGTCAAAATGGGTTCACGTGCAGGTTTTTCATTGGCGATTCTGTATTTGATCCGCAAAAATGATGTTGTAGCTAACTGAATCTTAAAATTGTTTCGCTATTTCTACCGGTTTCACTGTTTTATGACCGCAGTTTTCAGTTTCGACCGAGCTTGAGTGATGTATCCAGTCAAGCATATCCGAGTTGTTTTATAAATCTTTCTTGAGATATTTTTTCATCGTGCTCAATGTGTTGTTCGATCCCCGTGTTCGTAGTTTTTTCGACTGTGCTCGGTTGATGTTTCAAATTTTTCTACAGCTATTTTAAGACTGTGCTCGAGATATGCTTTGAACGTGCCCAAGGTTTCCTTTGAAGTAGTACAAAAACTTTACATATGAAATGCTGCTTTATTTGTTCATTGACCCTAATTGTAAGAATTACCTCAGAGACTCTCTAAAAAGCTCTAGAGATATCTAATACACTCTATGAAAAATAGTGCAGTCATTCTGACATGGCTCATTCTTCTAGCATCCAGAGCCGCCAGCAATCATAAGACACCTCGTCTGTTCGAAAAAAGTCAGAGCTGAAACAATCAGCGAGTACACGAAACTCAGGCAAATAAAAGTTAGCAGCACCTTTGCACACTTTCTGTATCTAACTGATTCTCCTTCCTGTCGCCATTTTTGAGCCATGGGTTTCTGAGTGGGCAACAAGAATACGAAGAAAACAGTGATGATTGAAAAAAACCAATCAATGGCGAATGTAGAAAATATCAAAAAACGGTCTTCTTTGGAGTCGCGCAGGTACCGGCTGTCGTCCATGATATCGAAAAAACTGAAGAACATGTTTCCGAGTACGGTGCCTGAACATAAAGACTATATTTTATGCTTGATTGAAATGATTGCATCAATTGTAGAAGAATCAAAGCTAATTTTTTGAAAAAAGAGTCACTTCATCTTTAAAGAGTTCTGTCTACGGAGTTTTAAAAGCGCTGCAAACTAATAATTTTACGTAGATTTACAAACCGCAAACTAATAAATTTACAAACCAGGAAACTCACTTTTAGCCTTTATAGAAGATCTCTTGATTTGATATGAATGATTAAGTCAATATGATGTTCGAGGTTTTCTACAGCTGATTGTTTAATTTGTTGGGAGCGATTTCTAAAAATAAGTAAGAATATTAATCTGTAAGAACCCCATGTCCGAGGAAAAGGTGCAGAGGCTAGTTTATATAACCAGCCTCCTCGTACTTTGTCAATTTCAATATCAAGAACTACTCCAACCTAAAAGAACTACTCCAACCGAACTACTCCAACCTACTCCTACTTGGGTCTCCAACCTAAAAAGTGAAATTTCAATTTTTCAGACCCGCTTTTCAATTTCACTTATTTAAATTATTTCACGATTGATAATAGAATCATCAAAAAAAACGAATGGTTAAAAACGTCGTTTGTCGTCAAATTATTATTTCTGATCAATTCATGTAGATTTGAAATTATAGATTTTTCAACATCGTGTGAATACATGATTTATCTTACCAACTGAGCCAATACAGGGCGCTACGCTCCAAAGAAAAGCCACAGTTGTTCCTTCTAGGTTTCTGGGAGTATACTCAACCACAACGAAAGTATAGATCAAAGTAAACCAAGGAGCAAAGATTCCAGTGACTTCGTCATCTGCATTCCAGAAATACTGACTTCTTATTACTCCTAACACGGCCAATGGTTGGAAAAGAGCTTTTAACCCGAGATCAATTAGAATCAGAATAACGACAGTTTTTCGCCAATTGAAGTTGATAAAATACTTCATGTAGATCCACGAACCAACTGCTTTGAGGATGTTCAACAGAGCTTCCTGCATTCCTTTCGTGAGTGGTTCGACTTTCAACCATCGAATTTCAACCTTGCTTTTTGCCGGAGTCTGAAATAAAAAAGTATGACTTGCTCACAGTGGCGTCCGCAGAAATTTTTGTGTGAATACATGTGTGAAAATTTGTGTGAAAATTTTTTCGAAAAATTTTAAATTTTTCTGTCGACGTTTTTGTGTTTTTAAGTCAAACAATTTGACTTCCCGAGCTCCCCGAAATTTCTATAAAGACAATATTTTGCAAAAATATTTAGCGTTGCAGAGAAATTTAAAAAAAAAGTTTGACTAAAAACATGATTAAAAAGTTGCATTTTTTTCGTCGCGCGCTTTCCACTCAAATTTAGTTATATTGGCGCCAAAGATTGATCAGTAAGGTTTTTATAAACATTTTTCAAAGGCTTAGATTGAGGCGTTTATCTTTTTTTTGTCAGTCTTGACTAAAACTTGTCTTGATTTGACTTCTTTGGCACAGTTGCGTCACGTTTTGGCTTTCTTGAACGTAGAAATTGTGTTTGAGTTTCTTCAGACCAGATAAAACATGCGTCTGAACCAAAATTTGTTTGGCACCATTTTTTTGAAGTTTCTTTGCAAATATATTTGTTTGACTAGCCATTGATATGTTTCGACAATCTCACAAAAATGGATTTGTTTCGACAGTTTCGATCAAAGTTTGGTCATTTTAAACTTTTTGAACAACTTTTGTGGATATCGAGTTTCTCAATCAAAGACAAACTGTATTCGTCTCAGATATGAGCAGGTTTTGAATATCTCGATTTTCTCGTTTGAAAAAGTTTTCTACAATTTTTTTATCGATACAGCTCAATTGTGTTTCAAATTTATCGTTTAGCGACCAAGCAAAAAATATTTCCGAACATTGCCAAGCTAAAAATATAAAAGATTCATTGGCGTAGAGAAGAGTATAATGAAAGTGACATATAGATTTACAAGTGCTAGGGTGGATTAGAACATTTCACGACCCATTATTTGGGCAACTTTTTGCAAGGTGATACTTTTTGACTATTTTCCGAAAATTTCTTATTTGCTATTTTTTCTACCACATCTCTGCAATTTTCTTTCAATAAAATAAACAAACAAAAATTTAGAAAGCAGCCAATTAAAGCAAATGAGCACTTTGAAAGAACCAAAAAAAAACATATGAAGCAGGTTGAAAGCAATTATATTTAAAGTAAACTACAAAATAGAATGTGTGAGGAGATTTTGGGATAAAAATACCAAAAAATTATTAATTTCGAAACGTGATTGTTTTACGTTAAAATAACGTGCAATTGAATGAATTGAATATTTTTTATTATGTTGTTAATGAGTTATTTCCCAATGATAATTTTCATTCAAAAAAACTAATAATTTAGAGCAAAAACAAGCAAACAAAAACTTTGACTGCACTATTCAATCAGGGACGAAAATAATACAGAGTAACTCATGATAATTTCGATACATTCACATGCATACCACAATTGTATGGATAACATCGAGAATGAACGAAACAGTAGGCCAATGATGAACCAAAAATTAAATTGAAAAATTTGAAAAGTAAAACTCTAAATAACACTAAGAATCAACAAAAAATGTTGTGAGAGAACTAGCGAATTTGGAGAAAAATCGATTAAGCGTTCAATGAATCATAAATCAATTCAGACCGAAAAAAATTGGTTTCCTTTTACTACAAAATAAAAACAGAAAGAAAGTGAAGCTATCAGTTCAAAGGCCAAAAAGCTTAAACTCAAAAAATGATTACTTATTGGTTTTATTAGATTGTTAAAAAACTAAATAAATGACTTTTTTCCAGAAAAAAATCATGAAAAAAAAAATAAATTTACAAAAAATTGTGCTAAACTGATAAACACTTTTAAGGCAAAAGAATACTTTCTTAAAACTACTCTGCAATTCCTGTAAGCTGCTGATATTTTATTAGGATTACTTCATATACCTCAAATCAAGGTTTTGGTTGTTGAACAAAATTAGATTATTTAACTAGGGGAAATTTTATTGCTTCCACTTGATCTATCTTTTTTTTGAGAATCTACAAACGAGTTTTTTTTTACTGACATAAACGACTAGCTTAATGTTTGCAACAGTTTTGCCAACCGCGAGAGCAAAGAGCGTTTATTGAAGAGTAGAACAAACCGCACAGATACCGTTAAATTGTTTGCGGAGATTGCTTCATTGCAATCCAGTTGGAATTGATGTAATTGTTGTTTGCTACTACTTCAATATGAGAAGTATTTATCACCCCATGCACCAAACGCGGCCCTTAAATCACCTTGGTGATTGCAAGAATTGACCATAAATTGACAAAAAAGCGAAATTTATGGGGTAAAATTTCAAAATTTACACTTACTCTAAACCCAAAAAGATGCGCTAGAATGATACGATTCCCCACTAACATCAAAAAATGAGGAGTTTGAAGAAAGTTCCAAAAAAGCAAGAGATTCTCCCGCAACTTCACATTCTGATTTGATTCATAGTCGCGCTCATTAGTGAACATCGTCACATATACAATCGCTATTATACATCCAATTGCAACGATAAGAGCAAGTTGGTTCAATTTAACTCCGAAAGGACAAAAGTGGCCTCCGTAGTCAATTTGATTGTACAAGATCGCAAAGATGGAAGCAAAAACTGCTGCTGAAAAGCGTTTCACTACCGATATTTTCAATAAAATGGATCCTCGATTTGTTTCCTCTTCAAGGGAGGTTCTTTGGGCTGTAAATGCATCCATGCAGCAATCCGAAAAGGCTAGACCAATAAAGGCAACCATGAAAAGTGTGGCATAATCTAAAGCACGATTGTGAGCTTCAGGATTGCGAATTACATTCAAATCACGTGAGCAATTCGAGTTTCCATCTTCGTCCACTTCATTGTAGGATTCGAAATACGGTTCAGGTATTGGTCGAAAAAACATGATTGTGCTGCATGCAAGTATCATGAAAAGACCAATCAAAACGTAAGGAAGACGTCTTAGTCCACAAATTGGCACCGAGTCACTGATGAATGAGAAAAGGTTTTTCAAACTCGAGACATTGCGAATGAGATTGTCCAAGCTGAAAAAAGTAACTGATTATAGCTGGGGGATCTTGACTTAATATTTGCAATTTAAGCAAATAAAAGTAGTGTTGGGATCTATATTCTTTTGCATTAAGGGTTCTTCAACCTCAGATCTTTTTAATACAGCGTCAATTTTTGGCTTAAAATTAATCTGATGGATGATCAGTATGATCAGATGGTTGCTATCAAATTTTCTACTTTCCGGAAGTACTGACAAAAGTTTGTTGTGTTTGAGACCCCCGTGACCCAACTTTGGTTCTTTCAGACCTAGCAGACCAAAGATAATTTCGGCAAATGGCGCGGTCATCAAAAAATGTATGGATGGGGACGTTGCATTTTTCTCTGCTACAAGCTACAAAATTTGAGAGTTTTTCATATAATTTTTTAAAATCAGTTTACCTATGCAATTTAGCGTTTTTCCTAACGACTTTATATACATATATATATATATATATATATATATATATATATATATATATATATATATCTAATTTTCATTACAGCAAAATATTTTCAAAATTTTCAGTTTTCATATTGCATTTTTTTTGAAATTTTGGGGTATTGAATTCTTTTTCCTTTTTTTGAGATCGTTTCACGTTCAGTGCAGGCATTGTTTTCAGGCATTTGCGACAAATTTTCAGACTGTAGCGACTTTATGCTAAGATAATGATACACGTTTCCAGAATGGACCGCGACTTATTTGCAGATTTATCGCGACCAATTTTCAGACTATCGTGACCAAATTAGAAAATTTTCAGACTTCAATGGCGACTGTAGAACCCCTTCCACGGTATAAAACTTTCGTCGCGGAAATAGTACCAGCGCCACATTGAAAGTCTGGAGATTACGCGTACGAGAACCCGGTTGGTCAATTAAATGCAAAAAAAAATATTATTTACCTGCTATAGATATTTATTGTAGAGTTCGTATAGGCGCGACATTGAAAAGCCTCAAAATTGGCTGCTCAAGACGACCAAGTTGGTCAACTAGTATCTGTGCGCGGCGCGTAATTATTACTCGCAGAATGTGACAGTAAAATGTATCTTGGTATGTTTTTGTTCTCCGGACGATTTAGCTAGCTCTTTTTGAGCCCGAAACTAAAATTATCCGTCACTTTCACGTATGCAAGCGATTGCATAATGAATTTTAAAAAGGCTTAAAAAAATGTGACCTGAAAAGTTTATTGATTGTAAAAATGATAAAAGTAATCAAAAGTCATAAATAAAAAAACGAGTTTGGAAGACACAATTTTTTTTCAGTAAAATGTAGAGCCAAGCTAGGAAAAAATGCAGACACTGGCTTAAAAATAACCTTTGTAACTGGTGGGCGTCCACATTGAGATACTGCCCAAAGAAGGCATAAACTGATGCGACGGCAAATCGGATGTAGAGATTTTGTAATGTATAGTAGACATAAGGACTCGAACTTCTCAACCTCTTGAAAATTTTCAGTTCAATTTTTGATGCTTTGTCAAATTGTTGGTACTCCATTATAATATTCTAATGTGATAAATAATTTATCAAAGCGAGAAAGTTATAATTTAATACGTAAGTATTACTTAAAATGCATCTCAAAAAGCATCGCATATTGAAAATGTGTTTCATAATCAAAGTTCTGCACAGTGTAAAAACAAACTAAGTAATTCGAGTTTTCATGTATTTGATAATTTTTCTTCTTACTTAGCTCAAAGTACGTCAATAGTAAAAAAACTGTACATTTAACAACACAAAAGAAAAGAAAGAAAAAACCAAACTGAAATGAAAATGAAGAATTTTTTGTTTTAAAAAACAAAACCAAACTAGATAAACTCAAACTGATCAAGCACCCTAGAGCTCACATTCCCATTCGTAACTGGTGAGTATTTAAATTGAAAAACTGCCTAAAGAAAGCATGGACTAATTAAAAAGCAAATTTGAGGTAGAGATCAGGAAAATATACTAGACATAGGGACTCCACCTTCTCAATCCCTCAAAAATTTTCAGTTCAATGATCGGCACTTGCTCAAATTATTGGTCTTCCATCATAATATTCTTTAAATCTTATAAAAAGTTCGAAATAATACAAAAAAGGATTACAACAAAACATGCAGGTCTAGCTTACTGCTTTCTATATACCTGTATTATTTTTCCCTATTTCTGAGCAAAAGACCTGACAAAATTTTTTTTCTTGATCTAATCATTTAAGTTTTTAACTGTGCGTGATGTTTGTATTGACTTAAATTCGATTTATTTTTTGGTCTGTTTTTGAGATTTGTTTTGAACTTGCTTAAAGATATGTTTGCACCTGACTCTTTTGAGGTAGATTTCGACCTTACTCGAGTTATGGTTTGACTGCACTCTAGGTAAGTTTCGACCTGGTTCAAAGACAATTTCGACAGTACTCGAGTATGTTTTCACCGTTCTCAAGCTTAATTTCGACCATGATCAAAGAATTTTTCAGTCGTGCTCGAGCTACTCTATGGATGTGCTTGAAGTATTTATTTTACGGATGTGCTTATAAGAAGAGGCTCGAAGTTCTTTTTTTATGGGTGTGCTTACGAATATGCTCTACCGTGTTCGAGGTGATTTGACAACGCTCGAGGTATACCTCGACTGCGTACCAGGCGTGGTTCGACCCTGCTCGAGTTTCGTTTCGATTGTGATCAATGTATGTCTCAAAAATGCTCGAGAAAATTTTTCATCTTGCTCGAGAAATGTTTCGGCAACGCTAAAGTTACGTTTTCGAGATCGTACGGAGATTCCACCCAACAGGCTGATGCCTTTTTGATATTCTCCAAGACTAACTAAATTGTAAAGGTGTAATTTCATAGAATGAATGGTTATAAGTTTCTGGCTCAGAAATAAAAATTATTTTGTTGTTATGTATCGACTGTGCTCGACTAAATTCGGTTGTTTTGATCGTGCTGAAGATAAATTTTCAAATGATTCAAAGTAAGTTTCGACAGCGCTCGATGTGTATTTCATACGTTCTCGAGGTTTAATTCGACCAGACTTGAGGCACATTTCAGTCGTTCTCGAGCTATCCTAAGAATGAATGGTTATAATTTTCTGGCTCGGAAATATAAGTATTATAGTTATTATGTAACGTCTATGCTCGAGCGAACATTGATATGATTTAAACGTGCTGAAGATTTTTCGAGTTTGTACTTTGGAAGTAAGTAACACCTTGTCTCGAGTTTTTTTTGGTTGGATTTTCTTCATTGTGAAAGTGTCTACATCCATAGCTGCTTAATAAATAAAGTTTTCGAAAAAACCCAATTTCGCACTCATCTCTTGCATAAAATTGCAAATTATTGTAATTTAGAATTTTATTAACCGCTAACGACACGCGCTTCTTTCATTCAGTTATCTCGTTGATTAGTAAACGATAATCGAAGCATTTAAATTGCAAAATGTTTACATACAAATCGTTAATAGTTTTCTGTGAGGCAATTTTAGTTTTATTGATCGAGAAAGAAGCTTTACCGCTGAAAACAAGATATCGAACATCAAGTGAGAGCAATCTGCGATTTTATAGGGGAAATATACATAAATGTAAGAAAAAAGATTATTTACACTTATAACCATTCATTCTATGTATATATAATCATTTTAGAGATGGTTGTTTAAATGACATTGAGCCTATTGCCAAAGACAGCAAACGAACCATAGAATAAACTTAGAGGTTCTCTACTGCACTGAAGGAATTATTCAAGTTACTACTTCAAAATAGTCTAGTCATTTTAACATGGCTATTTCGTCTAACATCCAGAGCCACCAGCAATCATAAGACATCTTGTCTGTTCGAAAAAAGTCAGAGCTGAAACAATCAGCGAGTACACGAAACTCAAGCAAATAAAAGTTAGCAGCACCTTTGCACACTTTCTGTATCTAACTGATTCTCCTTCCCGTCGCCATTTTTGAGCCATGGGTTTCTGAGTGGGCAACAAGAATACGAAGAAAACAGTGATGATTGAGAAAAACCAATCAATGGCGAATGTAGAGAATATCAGAAAGCGGTCTGCTTTGGAGTCGCGCAGATATCGGCTGTCGTCCATGATATTGAAAAAACTGAAGAACATGTTTCCCAGCACGGTCCCTAAAGTATCGCAAGATTTTTTTCGAGTTAATCTGTGCTAGCAAAATTAAAATAGTTTGAAAAATTTTGAACTTTTGTCTGCAGTTTTTTTTACGTGGGAAACGACTCGGTGTTTTGATTACGTTGAGAAAAGGGCATAATGAAAAAGTCAAGTTTATCAATTTCACAAACAAATAATTTGAACCCATAAACTCAAAATTTTTTATTGAGGATGTTTCCAAAGCAAGAACTCTTTTCAAACTGGTAATAATATACTGTCTAATTTACAACTTTAAAACAAAACTTTTCGAATTTGATTTGGACTGTCTCCTTCGAATAATTTCATATAACAAATTTTTAACCCTTTATCTTCAATAGTGGAAGAAAAAAAACCAAAACTTGAAATTGAAAAACTAGATTTTTTTTGTCCCATGGCTGTGCAACATCCAAAACTCCAAAAATTATCCTGTGAAACATCTTGAATCACCCGATCGAAATCAATTTAAAAATGAAGATTAGTTTAATCCTCAACCAAAACACTTGCAGTGATATAAAACAGCCATAGTGATTCCTTTGAGATTTCCTCCAGAAGGTTTTTTGTGCAGTTGATTCTTAAAATTCCGCAAGATTAACAAATTTCTCTGCAAGGTGATCGAGTATACGACCAGAGCTATCTTTACAAAAAAAACGTTGAGAAAAACAATGATTTTTTTAGACATCTGTTTTGAAATTCGAATTAATGTTGATCATCTTTTTGGAAGATGGGGTATCGTTTATCTTAAATTTTAGGGCTGGCTAAACGTTTATAAGGTACTTTTTTTACCCAACTCTTCGTATATAGCGGGTTTCTTTGAAGGTAATTTCTAAGAGAACTTTTTGCTTTATAAACACATAAAAATTATAACCACATAAAAATTTAAATATAAGCACAATTTGAGTTTTTTATACCCGCCTTAGAAAAAAGCTAGACCTAGATGTGCTGAAAAAAAAAAACAGTACCAAAATATTTTTTTTTGCTGGCAGTGATCCAGTATAATTGTTTGAGAAAACTTATGAAGATTTTTCAAAGTTGGTTTTTTAACAAATTGTGAAAAATACTTACCGACTGAGCCAATGCATGGTGCTACACCCCAAATAAAAGCCACTGCTGTTCCTTC